GACAAAGCATATTCGAATGCTTATGTGAGGATAGGTGTACAGATAGAGTACTTGAAGAAGTGAAAAAGATGAAAATAGAACTAGAATACTACAAACTTTTTGTTGTTGTCATTTTGAGTAGTACTGCATTTTAGCGAGTAGCAATAATGCTATGTTGCCCATAGTATCTAGGTCAACCAGCCACTGTCATGAACGGCTGTACACGGAGCAAAAGAGAGTAAAATAGATGCTGTATACCGTAATGTAAGATGGAACCCAAGGAAAAAAACGCCAAAACACAGTTGTATGCAGAAACACAAAAGTTTACAGTCATTTCTGTGCGTGTACGGTTTTCTTAACTCAATGCCAAATTTGAATATAGACATTAAAGGAAATAACCACTTAGATTGAGTCAATGCAATAGATATTCCTCCATTACACGAGTGGTTTTAGAAGATCGAAGCAGGAGACACGATCAGTTTATCTAATGATGTCATACTCTAAAAAATAAGGAAACTCACTCACCATCAAAAGTCATTAAACGGTAGTCGTACTAGCGTTAGAAAATTGGTCTACTGCTCTTCGTCAGCTAGCCCATGGTTTCACATAAAGATGCAGGAAATCATGTTGATTTGTGATTTACAGGTGATTCCAAATTTGGTGAAAACCCTGACTCAGGATGTCAAACTACGTTCATTTATAGCTAATTTTCTGTCGTCGATTCGTAACCTTTCGATTTATATCCAAGAAGGTGCAGAGATGGTCAAAAAAACCAAAGGTATCATTCATGTATAATTTTGATTTCACGAACAAAGTTTTGATAATGTCGATGTTCAGGTTCTCGTGATTCGATTGAAGTTGTACGGAAAACTATTTCTGCTGCTCTCAATGTTTTAGAGGACTGTATTAAAGAAGCTTCCACTTTAGAGAATACTGTTGTGGAAACAGTTGCAGATGAAATCGGGGAACTGCACGAAATGATCATTTCCAAAGCTGCAAATTTTGACACACAGACAGCTGAAATTACCGCTCGTATTGAAGAACACAATAAAGAACGTCAAGTACTCCAATCCAGACATCAATATCAACAAGGTAAAACTTCAAAATCCTTTTTAGACAATACTAAAAACATTGTGTCGTAAATCGATTGCAAAATCACAATTATGTATATGACATGTTGCAAAATCGAGCCTACATACCACAAAGAAATACCACTTTAATTGCCTATGTGATTTATTTCGGAAAAAGGAGTTTCACAGAACTTTCGTATGGCTCTCGCATTTGGGTAATGGATCGAACTGTCAAAAATGATTCTCACTAGAAGAACGTTCTGTAAAGAAATAACAAAAACATTTATGATAGTTTATGAAAAATAGCACTATCAGACACCAAAGATCCACATTTAAATGGTTTATCATAAAAACATTCTCAGTTTTGAGAACAGCTTCTGCACCGCAGAATAATTATAACAACTTTACAAATTCCATACTTTTGAAAACCCAATATTCGTTTCTGAGTTTGCTTCATCTAGAAACCTTCAAGGATTCTCACCTTAATAATTCGATTTTCATGGAACCTAAAACAAACAAGTAACGCTCGTCTGTGTGACTCGCTTAACCCTCGACTGAATATTTCACTGCATCGGTAGTTGTTTATTGCTGCAGACGTTTTGTAAACGGTAGCATCTGGCGTTTGCACATGGCTTTGTGCTGGTGTCAACATTAATGTGCACATCTGTGTCGGCGTGTACAGTGCCGTTGGTATCATTGTGATACTACCGGCTATACCATTCGTTCATTTAATCTGTTACTCTATCAGTAACACTCAAAAGAAATCCGCGCGACTCACACTGACACAGCAATATCCTCAGACCACGAAAAAAAAATAGTATATTCGATTTGCAGAGAAAATCAACACACAAAATATATCAGTGTGACTGCAGTAAAGATGCCCTACACTTTTCGCAAACTATACTAATAATGTGTATAGTCATCAACACATAGGCTGGTAATATCACTGGCCGGTACCCCCTACGAAAATGCGTATTCAGCGGAGCTATCAGACTAAAAAGTATATTTGTTCAAACTAATATTCGGTATATGCAACTTGAATGAGGCTTCAACTCTGAATCTTTGTGGGATTAAACAATGAATTTCAAATAGCCGGGAAAAAAATTTGACAAGTTAATAGACAGACGACGTATCCATGAAGACAAAAGATCATTTAATTCATTCCATTCAAATCTACTTTTAATGATTCGATGTAAATTGTTTTATTGACGTTTTTTCGGAAAGGCTCGATTCCGATACTGAAGACGTTCTGTACACCTGTTCTCACAACTTCACTCAAATATACTTATTAGCCCTCTTGCCAGTTCTCCCTCTCATGAAAACTAGTAAGATCTAAACGGTAGAGATTCTTCCAATGGATTGGAAGTTTCTGAAGCGTTCTATTCAAGAGATTTCTTAGGACAGCAGTAAGGCGCTCGTCGGCACCCCATTGGGGCGCCACTCGCGACTAACTGCTGCTATGCATCGTTCTCTTCCAGTAATTATACGATCATGTAGTGTCATTTAAATTTTACTGGATTCTACGTTTGGCTAAGTTTCAAAACTGCCTATATTTATTACATGAGCAATTCAAAAGTGAAAACACTTGTGAACTATTCCTTATGCGTTTCAATCCCTTACCTAGATACTCAATCTGAGATTTCGTTGAACTCGTCGTCGAAAGAAGCTTAAGTACATTATTCCATACAAAAAATTAGCTTAATAGACCATATCTCACACAAAAAAATTGTGAAATAAGAATATGAGCTACTATATTTCACTATCGGAGTTCCGACGTCGCGCTACTCACACTTAGCTACTACCGTCTTTGATCACATATTCCCAAATGACTACTTTCTTATTCAAGGCATGACTAATCCACATTTCAACTGCTTTAAAAGCTTCTCTACTTGTAATTAAAGAGTACTACATTTCCTATATCAAGCAAGATATCTTTTAAATACATACTCGTCGTCTATCGAGTTTCTCCATGTTTATAGGAGCCCTTCTTTACATAAAGTATCATTGGTTAAGTCTCAGTGGCGCTTTTCTAAGAACCTTGCCTGATGTTATGCAGAAATGTCGTAAAACAGATTTTGAATAAACCTAGTTTGGTGGCAGCTACTCGTTCGCCAGTCTCCCAAAAGGACGGCATTCACGGCTAGCCACTACTTCCAGCTACTTTACACTCACGAAAGGTTGATGCCATTTTCATAATCGAGCCATCGTTCCTGTTTGAAAAACTGATGAAAAGTTTGATCCGTTACAAAAAAATTCCTCTACATTAGAAATTTTCTTTGGAAGTTTATCAGTATATAGGAATAGGACACGTTGATATAGACTTACTGATAATCTGAAATCTTCTTAATAAGTGGACACAACCGTTGTATTCTGTCAACCTAAGTAATTTTTTTGCGTAATTTGCTCTCATTCCTCAATCTTTGTTCTACAAGTACTCTAATTCCATCTTATCTTCGTATTTCTTGATTCATTACACTGCTGTCACGCATTACAAAGTACTTACAGTTTCTTAGCATCACTTCTCAGAGAACGAAAAGATTCGAAATCTGAATTTTGAAATCCAGATTTTAGATTCGGATTCTTCACCCTCGATAACCTACGGCAAAGTTCGATCAAAACAGCCAAAAGTCTTAAAATAAGAAAGTTCGTTTCTGATTGGCCGATTTCTGACCAATAAAACTTTGACCAAAGAAATGGACTTCGGATTCGGAATCAGAGCCCTCGATAACCTAAAAGCTATTTTTTTTATATGACCCTCCCTACAGTCGAGGGAATATGATCATTGATGTTTAAGCGGATGTTCTTTTGACCTTGTGACAAGCAACAAGCAAACTATTTTTTTTCATAAAATGTAGTGTATTTAATATTTTCTTGAATACATAAACGAAATGTGGTAATAAAAGCGAAGAAAGAAAATAGAATTGTGTTTGACTGTGCTATTGATAAAGGTATTCATAGAAAAATAAATCTCTTGCATTAGCAAAACTATAGAATCTATTGCCTTTTAAACAACATATTTCAGGTTTTTTGACAAAAAAAAATTGAAAAACGTTATTACTGATCAATGTGAGAAGAACAAATGACAAATTTCGAAATTTCTCATAAAAAAGACATGTTAATCAAATTGTTGATTAACTGTTTGAGTGTAATTGATCGACGGAATGAATGAAAATGAATTAACATTTTATATTTGTTATCTATAAAAAAAGTGTCAGATTAGATTTGATAAATAAAATCTGTATAAAACAATGGCATTTTTCAATCTTGTCTTATTTATTTCATAAAAATATTTTTAAAATAAATCTACGTTATTCTTCAGTCCGAACATGCTCAAGTTGTTGATTAACTAAGAGTATGTGCAAATAAAATAGTTTAGCTTTGTAAAGATTTGAAAAGATCATTAAAAAGAATTTTTTTAATTAAAAAACGAAAATAAATTTGATCAATCTATAAAGTTTCTTAATAAAACAAAAAGTAAAGATTTCTTTTGAGTGAGTGTAGGTTTTGTATATTAGTTTGTTAAACTGTGAAATACTTATCTGAGATCTGACCGATTTTCTCGAGTTTTGTTTTTAATGTCGTAGATATTGAGTATCCGAAAAAACTTCTTCTCTTTCGATATGTCTTACAAGCGAAACAAAAAAAAATAAAGAAAATAAATTTGATTTAAATCAATGACATAAACATCTTTTGTTATTGTAATAAATATTTCATTGTAATGCTGATACATTGATAAAATAGTGTATTGTAAATGTTTGATTAAATGTACGTATAAAAGGTAAAGAACATGTGACTATTCTTTAGACGGACATTTAACAGTTGAGAACTATGCTGATAAAGTTGGTATTGTTATCTTAGTTTTGTTTTCATTCACTGTGTAGGAGTTGAAATAAAAAGTTGATATCATCATTGTATTAGTAGCAATAGTGATAAAAAAAGTAGAGGTAGATAATGTTGCCTGTTGGTGAACTAATGCCTCGTGTAAGATCATATTCATTGCCTGTATATAAAGTATATCGACGTCGATTTTATGTATTATTTGTATTTTCTTTTCTTGCATTTAATCAATGTTTATTTATGTTAACATTTTCTCCGATATACAAAAGTGCAGAGAAACATTATAATATAGGTGAAAATACAGTTGATCTTCTATTGGCTTGGGGACCGATATTTTTTATTCCCTGTTTACCATTATCATATTTATTATTAAATAAACGTAATGGACTTCGATATTGTATAATATTACTATCAATAATAGAATTAATATCAACAATAATTCGTATAATTCCTTCAATAGCAATATCGTCATCAAATGTTAAATATTATTCAATATCTTTACCATTTTTACATGTTGGTCAAATTCTAAATGCAGTATGTGGTCCACTAGTAATGGCTCCAGTATCTCAATTATCTTGTTTATGGTTTGATACAAATGAACGAACACGTGCAACAACAGTAGCTATAATGGCTTATAATGCTGGTTCAACAACTGGTTTTCTTCTAGGTCCATCAATAGTCAATTCTCCTGAAAAAGTTCCAAATCTTCTATATGTTCATGTAGGATTTGCGTTATGTGCATGTATTCTATCACTTATTTATTTTCCTGGTCAACCCCCAACTCCTCCATCACCAGCTGCTGAGTTACTGATTCGTAATTCAACAAGTGAAATAAAAGGAAATTCATGGCGATCTTATATAGAAAGTCTTCGTCGATGTTTCACAACACGTTCATTTGTTCTTCTGGTAATAGCAGGAGGATTAATTGGTGGAACATACGCTACTTGGATTAGTTTATTTGATGTTATTCTTACTGATGATAATTATTATACAGAAAAACAATCAGGTAAAAAAAAGAGAAAATTATTTATAGAATTGTTTAACATTGATATTTGTTAAGGTTGGTTTGGTTTTACAACATCATTAGCTGAAATAATTGGTGGTCTAATTTTGGCAACAATAGCTGATATGCCTCGTTTTCATCGTTCATTTAAAGTATTTATAATAATATCGTTTATTTGTTATATTATATTTGTTGGTTGGTTTAATTTATCAATTAAAACACTTTTCTACGATAAACCAGTTCTTCCATCAAGTGTCGTTACAATTGCTTTTTCAGTTGGATTAGCTGGTTTTTTTCAAGGTGCAGCATCGCCATTAACTTATGAGATGCTTGCTGAGATAATGTATCCATTGCCAGAATCATTATCAGCATCTATTCTTGTTGAATTTATAAATATAACATCATTAGTTCTTCTTTTTATTGCACCAAATCGATATCAAGTGGTTAATTTTCTCATATTAATTATAATTGGTGTCTGTATTATTCTTGTTTCGTTAACTCGATTTACTTATAACAGACGAGATGCTGATATAAGAAAACGATCAATATTAGTTCCGTCGGATGTTGGATCAATACATGAGACTCAGATGAATTCTATTCGAACATTGTCACAAATTGATCCAAATATTGATACAGTTCAGACGAATACGATATCTCCTTCATCATTCGTAAATCCCATTATCGATTTATCTGATACTTAATTATTGTTTAAATGGAAAACTTCTATAAAACAGAAGAACTATTTACTTTTTATCAAATGATAATTATACATTAAAATTATTGTTTTTTTCAGATAATCTCTTTACTTAAGTTTCATTTTAATTAATCGAATTCTATTACTGTTAACAATGAAAAGAGCATCACGTCTTGTTAGGAAATTGTTTATGTTAGAACGGCATGTATACCGATATATATCAGGGATGATACTTTTACTTTCTTTTTTGCTTTCAGAAACGAAACGAAAATTGAAAATTTTCTTTATTTTCTTAAGGAAAGTTTTTTGATTTTTCCTAGTTTTCTTTCCGAAAAAGGAAGAAAACTAAAGTTGAAATATTTTGATGTTCGGCGCTAAGACAATTCATCGCGATGATATAATCCAATTATAATTTATCATTATTTCTTCATTGATAAAGTGATCTATTAAATTAAGCTGGAAAAGACATAATTCAATCAGTATAAAAATTGAGGAAAATATTTCTAATGACTAAACTTCAATTACTGATCTCGAGTAGTAAAATAATCATCTTTTTCATATAAAAAGTTTTATTATTTGAATAATGTCACCGATAAAAGTTTTCTTATAGAGACAGAAGTGTCACTGCAAAAATTAGCTTTTGATCAAATCCTTTTATTAAATCTCGATATTTGGCCTACAAATTTTTTTAGTTTAGAGATTATCACCTTGTTTTTCTACACATTTAAGACTAAAGTAATTCGAATCAATCGATGATTTATACAGTACAGTGAGTGCTTTTGATCATATCTCACGCTTGAGATGTTTTCATCTCATCGATATTATTCATCAAGTAGAAAATGGATCCGATTTTTTTGTCAATCTGCAATTTCTTATAATGATACAAACCGAAATAAAAAGTCCAAGTCTATTCATTAGAAATATCTTCTACAATTTAAATACTCGTCGAATAATGTGTTTCAAACTTAATTTAATAGGTAAATTCATTTATGAAAAAATAATGATCAATTATAATTCGATTATATTATTGCGACGAATTGTCCAATCATCGAAACATTTATTCAGATATGCTTACAGACAAATCTTTCTAGACATTCTAAGTGTAGTAATCTTTATTGTAGATTCACAAATATATTCCACTAGAATTTATTTTAAAATTTTTTTTCGGAACGATTCGTTCTGCAAGGCAAACTTTTAATAGAACATCTTACAATCGAATATTATTCTTTTCTTTCACTTTTATTTCAAATAAAAAACATTTTATCAAACTTTTTTAGCAAAGATTAAAGGACTCTTCTAGTAGATTTCGATTTTCTATGAAATGTTTAACCATGTTTATAAAGAATATTTTTATTTATTTGATCGATTGATGTTAATCCACAATAAGCCATATCATAAGTTAATTCACGTTTTAATATCTCCAAAACTCTTTTAACTCCATGATGTCCTCCACGGGCCAATCCATATAAAATCGGTCTACCAATAAAAATCGCTCGTGCACCTAATGCTAATGCTTTCAATACATCAGTTCCAGTTCGAATACCAGTATCAACAAATACTATTAAATAATATAGAAATTTTAATCAAATCAACAGTGTAAATAAGAGAGTATATGCATTATTTTTCTCGTCCTGATTTTTTCAGGTGTTTTGAGTGAGTTATTTCTTTTCCTAATTAATGTTTCATATTATTCAATTAATCTTAACGTTTTGGATGATAATATCATCTTTCATCAGAAGAAAATCTCTAAATAAAAATATTTCGTTCGATGTAAATCCATCGTAGTTATATGTATTGGATGTAGATACAAACAAATATTTATTTTTAGAGATCTTCTTCTGCCTAAGGACTTTATTATTGTCCCAAATATTAAGACTAATAAAATAATGAGGGTGTGGGTGTGGATGTGGGTATGAGCGGGGGTGTGGATGATTAGTAAGACCGAGCACTCACATCCACACACCTACACTCATACCCACACCCTTCTAATCAAAGTTGTTTTATTTTTTTTTCAACTTAAGATAAACATTCGTTATTGAGCAACAAATATTCATTCGAGATTTATTTCTGTCGAGATGCTAACCGAGAAAAAGAAAATTTGATTAAAAAATCCTACTGAAAGTTAGACGCGTTCATTTGAATGCATATTAAGCTTCGTTTGTCGTATATTGATTACCATCATAGATGCATTGGTCTTTTGGATCCTGAAGATAAAGGATTCGATCTAATTCATATACATTGAACTTATAACCAAATGTAATATCGTCTACTACTTGTGATCCTCCATCAATGAGTTTCATCAGTTAGTTTTGAGCGTTTGATTTCGAACAGAAAACTCAATAGAACATCAAGTTAGAGGCTTTTTGTTGGCTAACTGAGGGATAAATCATCAGCAATTCTACACAGATAAAATTCTTTAACATTAACAGTTGTATATCAATGAGTAGATATAAGGTTGTATAATAGGAAGTCTTTCACTTGCCTATTCGTATTTGTACTGATAGGACGCACTTTTTTTTTCGTTCTCCTTTTTCTTAGTAATCGATTCTATATATAAGAGACACGTGTATATACACGTGACTCACCAATTGTCAATCAACAGGTAATCACTAATTTTTTTTATTTACTGGTTTGCTTGTTGAACATGTCAAACAAGGACCCGAGGTCAGGTCGTTATCATACTTCTGAAGATGTAATTATGGCTGACAAACGTGATGTTGAATTAACATTTTTGAAGAAAATTAATATGGAATATCAAAATTTAAATTCTCCGAGTGATACTGATCAAGGTGGTAAACGTGGTCGTACACCAACTGATGATGATTATGAACGTCATGTTACTAGAAAAGGTACTCCAAAACGTTCAAAATCTGTTCAAAAAAATACACGTACATTTATCAATTCGATACGTAGTGCGACAACTACAGATAACAATGATTCAAATTTAAATTTAAGAATGGACGATGTGAACTTCCAATCAAGCAACAATAATAATAAGAAGAACATTAACAATGATAATGATTCATCCATTTTTAATTTTTCAAGGAGTGCTATTGATTATGCAATTAATCAACACCTACCCCCGATTAAAATTATTTGTGAACCTAAAATAGGTAATCAAAAAGAAGGTGGTGTTATTATTAAAGGTTTAATTAAATCGATTGAACATGATTTTAAAGGTGTTAATCCTAGACATAATGATTTAATTGGTTTTGATAGTTGGTATATTGATTTTAAAGGTGATATTTGTTGTATTACAAATGATATTGAATTATTTGTTTATCTTTGTGATGATAATCATGTTCCAAATAAGATTGAAAATACGATTATTTTCATTACTAAACCGAGAAACCTACCTCCACAGAGGTCGGTGATAATTAAAAATGTTTCTGTCTCATCAAGTTTAGATGATATGAAAGTGGAAATTAAGAATAAATTTAAATCTATTTATTTTGTCGATGAGGTGTTAGGAACCAATAATGGTAGGACAAGATTTATAAGAATTGACTTATTGAACCATTTGGAGTACAAACAGATTCTGAATGCTGGTGTTATTTGTATTGATGGACAATGTTTGCACGTACATGAATATCTTGCTGCACCTCGAATTATGTTCTGCTCTATGTGTAATCTCCCGGGCCATACAAAAAGAAATTGTAAGTTATCATATGAACGATGTAAACGTTGTGGTGGTAATAGGAAAACGGGTGAACATAAAGAATGTAAAATAACCTGTCATAATTGTCAGGGTGATCATGTTGCTACGGACTTTAGATGTCCCTTGGTTCATTCATATCGTAAAGAACTTATTCAATATCTCCGTCTACATCCAGAAGTATTTCCAAATGATACTCAGATCTTTATTCCCTCCAACTTTCGTCAAGAGGGTGGTAAAGTATTAGGTAAACGTATGATGGATAAAAATCAAGATTATTATTATTATAAATCGTCAAAAATTGATCCTGTTCCTGTTTGGCCTTCGCTATCATCAAAATCAACTATTTATGAACCTAATGCTAATTTAAATCATCAGAATTTAAATGTAAAGGACCAGCTGAATCTTAATGTATTTTTAGCTCGTATTGAAAAAGATTGCAATGAAGCAAAACAAGAATATGATAGAAGATTTAATGATACAACAACAAAAATTAATATGTGTTTAAACCAAGTTCAATCATTAATGAACTGCTTCTCGTCAACAATTCAACGTCAAAACGAAATGATTTACGTATTAAAAACTTCATTAAATGAATGTCTTGAAATTATTAAAATTACAAATCAAGCATTATGTTTATTATTAGATAAAACCGGTGAACAACAATATAAAGATATGATTCAACAAATATCTGCTATACCTTTAGAAGATCGACAAACATCTATTCACAAGTTTTTCTCTGCTTATTCACCATTAATTGATGAAATTACAATGAAGATTATGGATGCAACGGAAAAGCTGCATATTCATAATGGATAATCCTACATTTAGATATTATATGCCTTATATTGATGATATGCTTATTGATTCATTTATTGGTACTAGTAGAGAAAAACAAGAATTAAGACAAATTATTTATGAATGGAATACAAGATCCTGTACAACTGATTTATTTAAAAGATGGACTAAAGGTAAACCAAAAATCATGGACTCTAACCTTGTTTTTTTACTATACAATGTAAACTCTCTAAGCAGTCATATTGCTGATATGGACATAATCATCTCTAACCATGCACCGAAAGTTTGCATTTTAACAGAAATAGGTAAAGCAGCAATGAAAAAGCCTCCACAGTTTCCTGGTTACCACTTGCTAGTACAAGAGGGAACAAATTCATTCGGAGGTGTAGGTTTATTAATTCATCACTCTATCAAATATAAAGAAGTAGCTCGAGATTTGAATTTTCTAATGGTTGAAATTGAAACAAAACCTGTACCAACATTAGTAGGTGCTGTTTATGTTCCACCTGGAACGGTTCCCCCTTTCCATCTGTTTACGAAGTGTAGAAACAAATCTTTTTGTATTTTTGGTGATTTTAATGCGAAACACGAAGATTGGAAATGTGCAACGAGCAACGTAAGCGGTAACCGTACGGCCACATGGTTAGAGGAAACGGGGAATGAAATGATTATACCAGATAAACCTACCTCACGCAGGTCGGATGCCATAATTGATTTTGGCATCACGCATAACGCCATGGGTTGGCAAACAGAAGTATTAGATGAAGGAACCTCTGATCACTTCCCTGTACTAATACAAACACCACTAAATGTCTCTGATTCCGCAGTATTTAGGAAAACAAATTGGAATATACTCAAGTTTTTTCTTAATTGTGTATATGAATATTGGCTAGCTCTTGTTTACAACTATGATGAACAATTTTTCTTCACTCACTTTTCAGTTTTTTTGCAAAGTCTGTGGGATAGATGTAGTATTTATAAACCAGTTAAACAATATCGGTCGCCGTGGCCGTATTACCTGGTGATGTTAGCTAAAGAAGTGAATAGAAGTAGACGTCGATACCGACGTAATAAAACTCTTTATAATCTAAACAATTTTCTTGAACTGAAAAAAGTTTTTTATGCAGAACGTTCCGAACTGACGAAACAAAAATATGAAAAGAAAATGGAATGGATAAAGAAGGACCAAAATATTTGGAAAATTGCAACTCCAATTTTCCACTCATATTCACCACCTTTTTGTGGTCTTAAAGTTTTAGATAGAATAATTCATGATCCTGAGACGATAGTTAATACGCTTGCGAATCATTATGAGAAACACTTTGCGGAACCACAACATGATGAGAATAATATAGTACATCAAAAATGTATATTGTCTTACGAACAATTAGGTTTTGTGCCTAATATTCCACTAGATAATATTTCGATTAATGAAGTTAGTGCCGTATGGAAAAGATTCTCTCCGAAGAAATCTACAGATAGTATCGGTACCTCTGCCTTTCTATTGAAAAATCTACCTGAGGCATATGTTAACATTATCACGATTTTATTTAATAAATGTGCATCGAAGGGTGAATTTTTCTCAGCTGCTAAACATGCAAAGGTGGTCTGTCTTTCAAAAGAAGGACTATACCCTTCACCGGAGAAACTAAGACCCATCTCATTGTTGCCCAATCTAGGCAAATGTTTAGAGAGGATTATACATAGCCGTATTCTTAGCTGGTGTAAGAGTATGAATGTTTACATTGATGAACAATCGGGTTTCTCACCTGGTAGGAGACTTCAGACCCGAATCATCTCGCTGATCGAAGAGCTGAGACTTACGGTTGCAGCTAACAACAGACCAGCCGTAGCAATATTCATTGATTTTATGTCTGCATTCGACAATATGTGGATACCCCACCTCATAATGAACTTACAGAAATTACACATGCCGCTCCAACTATTAAAGTGGCTCTTTAACTGGTTGAGAGATAGATCTTTTTATATTTGTCATGGTGATCAGGAATCGCGATTAGTTGTGATGAAGAAAGGTGCGCCCCAAGGTTCAGTAATTGCGGCGACTCTATTTCGGCTGCACATGCACTTTATTACTTCTTACTTCGACAATATAGTAATACATTTATTTGCTGATGATTTAGCACTGATTCTCAGTGGCTCGCTGGAGAAAAAATTTTCTTGGAACGTGATGGAATTAGAGCAAAGAGCAGCTAGTGTCCTTAAACAACTTGACTATTTTTCGAGGGATATAATTCTACCGGTCAATGTTGCTAAAACTAAGGCTGTACTTATTCACAGTGTTGTTGCACCTCCTTATCCTAGATTGTGGTTTAACTCGCAAGAAATAAAATTTGTTGATAGATTTAAATATCTGGGAGTATATATCTCAGTTAAATTAGGTTGGGATAAATACATCAACGAAAGATTAAAGACCATCACCAAAGTTCATAATGCGATGAGGATAATCTTTAGAACTATTAATAAGAAAGAAATAAAAATTCGCAAGAAAATATTTTATGCGTATGCACTCCCGCATTATATATGGCTCTTTACAACCTGGTTCTTCTTTACGGAGAATCAGAAAGAGAAGATTGAACATAAATTTTGTACCGGACTGAGAATTGTTTATGGAATGTATAATTGGGATGATCTTACAACATTAGTTATAACGAGAGAGAAATCTATATATGATTTTCTTTTCGTATATTGGAGGAAATTTGTGTGTCACCTGATGTCATCACCTGATGCTCTTGCATTTCAACAAAGTTTGAACGCCTATCTGTTATTAACGGATGTAAATAAATGCTGGACGAGGGAACTGGGGTTTAGAATGAACAGTAGATTCTATAACAGATTAGTTAGGCAAGTGAAGAACTGTCTCATGGAATGGGCTGCATTCGATTGTGTCCATATTAAACAATATGACTGCTTTAGAACTTCCACAAATGTATTGAACACATTTGTTTTTAAATTTTTTCTATCATCCTCCCCTGAGATTTGATTTGTTTCTTTCTTTCTTTCTCTACATGTAACCAGAAATGTTTTCTCTAGGCATTGTAATCTCACTCTTCGCTTACTTTTCATATTTACTTTTTGTGTTCTCTTTCTCTTCTTTCTCATTTTTATGTTACTTATTTTTTTTTTTTTCTTTTTCCTCCTTAAACACATTGTGAACCAAAACATTTGTATGGCACAATAAATATATATGTTAAAAAAAAAAAAAAAAAAAAAATAATAGGAAGTCTTTCATCGAGTTCAAATATAATTTCTTTATTCAGCAATAGAGGAATATATATAGTCAGAAACAAAAGTCAACCTTCTGAGTTTCATGAAAAATTCAATTTCGCATCGTACATATCGAATAACTAAAATAACGAGGAAAAGAGTGAAAAAGAAAAAGCAACGTTAGCCCTATTTTTAACGTATTCGATATCAATGTTTTAGAAAACAGTTTTCATTTCAATTCTGTTGCCAAATAAGGACAATTAGAGGAATAGCAAGTGCAATTGAGACGATTACATGTATACTCAATAATATCAATTTTGCTTTGTTTACAACGTTACTCTCCAATTCTTCGTTCTCAACCACTGCAGCTTCACTCTGTTGATGATGATCAATTTCAGATAGTTCATAAGCGGTTTGGCGTATTTCATAATGATTCTTTGACAATTTTCGTGATGCTTTACCCCGATGTTCGAGAAATTCGAATGCGACTACAACAATAACCACCCATGCTGTCCAAAGTGATAGAATTGCAACAAAACCATTGTGATAGGCAGGTAGCCAATAGGTAACAATAAAAATGGTGGGAACAGAGAGAACAAAAGCTAGCACACCAGTTGTTCGATGAGCCCAATTATAAATAAAACGAAATTTACCATCTGGATGACAACGAAATAGTGCCATCCAGACTTGAGTCATAGCAAAACAGACAATGAGAACACCCAATATCGAATGAGCGTAAAGAAGTTGTCCATCGGAATTGACATCAACCCAGGTGCTTTGAGCTTGAACTAGAATAAGAAAGAAGCCAAGGAGTGTCACCAATGCAGCTAATGAGAGTGCTAGACGATGTACTTGAAACCATATAGTATCACCGAATAATTTTTGTCGGACACCAATACGTAATAATCGTCCATAGCGTGCAATCAAGATGCCTATTGGAGCAAAAATCATCCATGCAAACACCATAACAGTGCCATGAGCATACGAAAAAGTGTAATTTCCTGCAGAATCACTGGAGTCATTCGATGATGCCATACCTTACGTTTATGTCAGCGAGTACCTATCAAAAGAAAAAATGAATCTAACTTCTTATTAATGTACTTTTACAAACACGCATGATTTAAAACAGCAAATAGAAGCTTTTTCTTTCTCTTTTTTTTTTCTATCCGTCCCAATCACTCCACATGTCTCGTTAATTGTGATGGTAATGTGTTTTTTATTTATATTAGGTGTATATCATGCCTGTACCTCAAGTAAACAGAAAAGAAAAAGAACGAGCGACATGAAGTTGTCACGAACATTAACCAAATGTATTCCTATGATCGAGGGAATGAATCATTATTATTGTCCATCAAATACCATCAACGTTTCTTGACAATGAAATTTTAATTTTATGATTTGAGAAGATCTGTTTTATTTAAATTCTATGACACCGTGCACTAATGATAAAAAATCTGCTAAAAACAAAAGTCACCACAATATTTTTTTTTTGATTTTAGATGATTTCTCTCTAATTATTACAATGCTCATGATCCAATATCTTGAATATTATCTATTGTATTGAAATGAAGATCTAATATACCTGGTGGCTCAAAAGTAAGGAAAAATAGTATTTTTTTTTCGATTTCTATCTTATAGATTGTTGCTTACGCCTGATATTTATACCACATATACTAGGTGTGATAAATACAAGATTGGGCATATGAACGATATGTAAATGTAGTAAATAATCTAAAAGCGTTCAAATACAGAACGACTAACAAGAAGAAAAAACTTGTGAATTCCAATAAAACTTTTATTAGAAGTTCCAACTAAGAAAAAAACACGTGCAAAAGTATGTCTTTGTGGAGTGTTCTTATTATGAAGTTCTTCAGAGAAATTGTTCAACATGTTTATCACCTAAGTCTTTGCAAAGTTGCAGTCTCTCAGGTACTGAGTAGCAAGCGCTTTGACAAAATTTCACCGGTAAACTTCGTATTTCAGTGAGTGTAGCATCTTTTAGTGCTTGAAGACTTTGAGGTTTCGTCGCGTATACATGTTCCTTGATGACAGCCTATTTAAAAAAAGTCTGTTGGTGTGAGGTCTGGAGATCGTAGTGGCCAGTAGATCCATCTATCAGGAAATGTTTTGTCCAGAAAGTGCCGGACAGATTGAGCGTAATGAGCCGGTGCTCCGTCGTGCATATAGACTACCTCTTCTAAATCCATTTCATTTGCAATAGAGGGTACAATATCTTTTTGGAGCATCTCGAGATAGCTGTCTGCAGTAACGTTGGCATAAAAGAAGAACGGTCCGATGATGCCTCCAATCCAAATTCCAGCCCACACAGTGATTCCTGAAGTATTCATTTCTTGAGTAATGATAACATGGGGATTTTCTACAGCGCAGTAAACACAATTGTGCCGATTGACATGATCACTCAACTTGAAAATAGCATCATCAGTCCAAACAACTCGATCAAGCAAGGAAGAATCGTCAGCTAACAAGTTGAGAATGATCTCGGCAAACTCACAACGTCTGTCAGGATCATCTTTATCTAAAGCATGCAGCAATTGCGGATGAAATGGCTTCAATCCCAGTTCTTTCATCATTCGTTGAAGACTACTTCTAGACAGATTCAGTTTCAAAGAAGCTCTTCTTGTTGAAGTTGCAGGACTTTCTTCAAGAGCAGTACGAACACGTTCTTTGTTCTCGTCGGTGCTAACGGATCTAGGACGACTAGATCGCGGTCTATCTTCGAGGCTTCCAGTTTCGTCAAACTTCCGTACAAGACTCAAAATATTCTTTGATATTGGAGGAGTACGACCAAAACGATTTTGAAACTGACGAGCAACTTGACCTGCATTTTGGTGAATGGCATACCATTTCACAGTTTCAGTTTTTTCACGTAACGACAAACGAAAACTTTTACTCATGGTAAAGAAAATGTGAAAAAAGTTAGAGTTATATAAACAACAGAAAATGCAAAGAGAAATAAAAAATAAACCAGTCGATAAAAGAGATAACCACTAGTATTGTTGTCTTCTAGATGCCACTTCTCACACATATAAGTACTATAAGAGAACAAACAATAATATTCGCTTTCTTTTTTTTACATACACTATATTTGTATGCTCTTGGATCAATTACTACATCTACATATCGTTCATATGCTCAATCTTTTATTTATCACACCTAGTATATGTGGTATAAATATCAGACCTAAGCAACAATCTATAAGATAGAAATCGAAAAAAAATACTATTTTTCCTTACTTTTGGGCCACCCGGTATAAACCAATACAACTTTTAGAACTTAAAAACCATTGTATCAACCTATCAATGTGTGTTAATTTGATTCTCATCATGATTAAGTAGCAATTTCAATTTTTCAGATATTTTCTTTATTGCTTATTGGCATGAGGAAGCATTAGATTTGTTGAGTTACTTTTTAATGGCATTTTATTAGTCGTTCAATTCTGGTGCATACCCATTCTGGTATTGTTTTTTTTCTTTTGATATACTTCAAAACGGGTGGTGGTGTCGGTGGACATGCTTGATACAAATTTTGTTCATATCCAATTAATCAAACCATTTTTCGATAAGACTAGAAAAGGAAACTCTCATCATGTAAAGCTATAGCAGTTGTATGGCAACCGCACTCATCTGAAGTTCTTGCTTTTATTAGTATATAATTTTAAAAGTCGATTTTTATTCACGTTAAAGAAATAATAAATATTTGTGTCACATATTCAAAGAATAACTTTGAAAACAAACTTATGCAAAATTTCTCACGACCAAATTTTAATAAGAGTCGTTCAATATATAAAAACTTCTTAGTACCCGTAATAGTTATGAAACTAAAATTATTTATATTTACAAAGGAACCTTTTCAAATACTGCCATTGAATTTCAAAGAATTTTCATCTATAGGCACATCACAGTACTCTAGTAGAAACTCGAAAAAAATTTGGGTGCATATTAAGATTTGACCAAACTATTGAATTTTTAATATGCTTATTTTCCATAGGGTCCTGCAGGACTCTATGTCTTCGGAAAATCGAATCCTCAAATTTTGAACTCAAACTTTGCGTATTGATAGATCTTAAGAGAGAATTCGTGACAGCATCGAGTATCATGTCCATATACGAGGCACGGAATAAAAAAAAATTTTTATTTTTTTTGCTCATTCAACGGTTCAATGTCCAAAACCACTAACCCCAAAATTTTAGCTTCTAATACCCTTCCTTTGAAAAGTTAGTCAAGACCGACTTTTACACTCTAAAAAAAATAGGTAAAGCCATCGACACATTAGAAGACCCCCC